GGGAGGCTGAGGCATGAGAATCGCTTAAGCCTCAGAGTTTGAGGGTGAGCTGTGGCACCATGGCACTCTACCAAGGGCAACAAAGTGAAACTCTGCCTAAAAACAAACAAATAAACAAAAAACAAGATCGTCCTGGTATTCCTTATGAAAACTTCTGGACAGAAGATTCTATAATTTTGTCAGCATTGTACGGACCTGGATTTTGCAAGTTAAACTTCAGCAGAATCTTTCTTAGAGATTGTTATGATCACAGAAGGAGAAGGACGCTGGGGGGAAATTGTGAAACACTTTGAAAGAGACCAAAAGCTTCCTGGATATCTTCAATGGAAAACTATGCATTGTTTTGAATGCAACTTTCCAAGTTTTCTGATTCTATAAAGTATGTGCCTTTCATCATCTTTAATTATATAGAAAACTTATAGTAATGTAAATAGTTCTTGTCCATAGGGAAAAACTGTATTCAGTGAACTGCAATCAATTATTGTCCTGTGGATATAGGTACATTCATTTCAGCATTCCTGATTCAACTATAAAGTGTAGTGCCTTGAATTCTCTTTTATAGTGTCTTACTAATTTCCTTAACTGAGTTAAATACAAATTTTAATGTTTCATTTTGTATTTGTTGTGTCATGATTTTACCTTTTAAGAATAGTATTCTTTATCAGGTATTTGTGTACTATTATTACAATATCATGTATTTGCCCATTCCTTTGCTTTCACACTTCCTCTGTTATAATTGGCATAACTCTTATAAACAGCATCTAGATGAGTTTTATTTGATTTGTTCTATCTGACAATCTTTGTTTTCATCTTTGGATGAAGGTACACATTGATTCCCACATTCGTGGTGTTTATGATTATACTTAATCAGAATTATTTATTCTATCTTACATTATGCATTTTTTTCTTTTCTTTTCCTTTCCTTTCTTTCCTTTCTTTTCTTTTCTTTCCTTTTCTGTCTCACTCTGTCTCACTCTGTCCTTCAGTAGAGTGTCATGGCTTCATAGCTCATAGCAACCTCAAACTCTTGGACTCAAGCAATTCTCTTGCCTCAGCCTCCCAAGTAGCTGGGACTACAGATGCCCACCACAACGCCCAGCTATTTTTAGAGATGGGGTCTCGCTGTTGCTCAGGCTGGTCTTGAACTCTTAAGCTCAGGCAATTCACAGCCTTGGCCTCCCAGAGTGGTAGGATTATAGGCATGAGCCACTGCACCCAGCCTAGAAACTTTTCCCTAAACACAGCGAAGACTGTACAACTCCTTACCTACCAACAGGGATAAATTTTAATTTTCCTTTCACTTCTAAACCATGGCTCAAGGCTATGGGGACACAAGGAAGGAGGTTCAGCCCAGGACGGTGGCTCATGCCTATAATCCTACCACTCTGCTCATGCCTATAATCCTACCACTCTGGGAGGCCAAGGCAGGCACAATGCTTGAACTCAGGAGTTCAAGACCAGCCTAAGCAAGGATGCTACCTTCTCTCTACTAAAAATAGAAAAACTAGCAAGGCATGGTGGTGCATGCCTATACTTAGTATCAGCTACTTGGGAGGCTGAGGTAGGAGGAGCTCTTGAACCTAGGAGTTTGAGGTTGCTGTGAGCTATGATACCATAGCACTCTAGCCTGGGGCAACAGAGTGAGACTCTGTCTCAAAAAAAAGGGGAAAGAGGGTTTCAGGAGCTCCTGGTGTCCCTTCTCCTGTTGCCTACATGAAACACTTACTGAAGTTCTGGAATGACCGCTGCACTGTACACAGGCCTGACTCCATCCCTACATGGGATGGCTCACAGGACTCGGCCTCAGCAGGACAAAGGCAGAATGAAGATTTATGGTCTTCTTATCTAAACTGGTGACTTTTACAGTTGTTTTAAAGAAATCAATGTTCAAATGACTTCTGTAGATAAATTTCCCAGGATGAATTTCAGCTGCAAAGTGAGCACTGTAGTTAATAAGAATGACCAAAACAGACCTAGTATAAGACTTTTCTCCCTAAATCTATATGGTTCTCAAGTGAGGACAATTTTGCCCACCAGGGAACATTTGGCAATGTCTGGAGACATTTTTGGTTGTCACAGTGGAGACAGTGGAGGGGAAAGAGAGATTCTACTGGCATCTAGCAGGTAGAGGCCAGGGATGCTCCTAAACATCTTAGAATGTATAGGAAAGCCCCACAACAAAGAATCACTAGCTGCACAGATCAGCAGTGCAGTTCTTGAGAAACACTGCTGTAAATACTTAAAGAAAATGAGATTTGCATTCATCTGTGACCAGTACTTGCCACGATATAACCCTCATGTCATTCCTTAATTTTATTTTTAAAATTCATCAGCTGGTCTTCCTACAAATCATCCCTAAGAAGCAGACTAAGAGTAATAGAATGTATAGCACTCCAAAGCATTTCTCCTTATTTTAGCCTTTCCAAGGAAACTGGCAGTATGGTTCAATTCATTGTGAAATTGCTTCATATCCAGAGTTCTATTTTTCATCATCAGAATTTTTCATTTTCTTTTTTGAGACAGAGTCTCACTTTGTTGCCCTGGGTAGAGTGCCATAGCATCATAGCTCACAGCAACCTCAAATTCTTGGGCTCAAGTGATCCTCTTGCCTCAGCCTCTGGAGTAGCTTGGACTACAGGCACCTGCGACTACACTCACCTAGTTTTTCTAATTTTAGTAGAGATGGAGGTCTTACTCTTGCTCAGGGTGTTCTCAAACTCCTGAGCGTAAGTAATCCCCCCCCACCCCGGCCTTTCAGTGTGCTAGGATTATAGGTGTGAGCCACAGTGCCCAGCCTAGAATTTTTCATTTTCTGGCAACAAGTATTTGATAAATAAATATAACTTTGTACCAGGCACAGTGGCTCATGCCTGTAATCCTAGCACTCTGGGGAGGCTGAGGTGAGTGGATTGCCTGAACTCAGGAGTTGGAGGCCAGCCTGAGCAAGAGCAAGACCCGCCTCTAAAAAAAAAAATAGCTGGGGGCACCTGTATTCCCATGTACAGTCTGCTAATCCTTGATGGCAAAAACTGGGCCACGTGCACCTTTGTTTGGTACCTAGTAGATGTTCATAAATGTTCACAGAACTGAATAGTTTTAAAGGGAGATAGGAAATTACAAAGTAGAGAAATTGTTACTAGAAGCATTAACCTAGTTAAGGATGACTCCCAATAGGAAAAAGATCAGAAAAGTCTTCAGTCCAAGATGATTTTGGGCTGAACACCATCTTAACCTCTTCCTCCACCAAGAAATTAAGGGGAGTTTCTACTTTCACTATAGGAATGCATCTTTGATTTTATTTTATTTTATTTTTTTTTTGAGACAGAGCCTCAAGCTGTCCCCCTGGGTAGAGTGCCATGGCATTACAGCTCACAGCAACCTCCAACTCCTGGGCTCAAGCGAGTCTCCTGCCTCCACCTCCCAAGTAGCTGGGACCACAGGCGCCCGCCACAACGCCCGGCCATTTTATGGTTGCAGCCGTCATTGTTGTTTGGCGGGTCCGGGCTGGGGATTCGAACCCACCACCTTAGGTGTACGTGGCTGGCGCCTTAGCCAGTTGAGCTATAGGCGCCGAGCCACATCTTTGATTTTATTAAGGAGAATCAAGGGAAAAGAATTCCTATTGCATAAATGTGCAAAGTGGAAAACTTTCCAGAATCACATCTATTCCATTGACTAAAGGGTGTGTTGTTCAATGGGTTCATCTAGTGGGGAGCGTCCGTTGGCTCATCTGCCAGCTTTCTGAGGGTGGAGACACATGTTACTCATATTTATATCCCCGGGGCTAGCACCATGCCTGATTCAGAGGTCACACTTTAAAGAATGTTTATAATGCGTCTCTACTTGCAGTATTCAAGTCCTGCCGGCGGGGACTCTTAAGGCATTTTCTGTAATCCAGTAATGCCTGTCCCGTATCCAGCAACCAATGAGCAACCAACAGGTGCAATCACTGGGCCATATATTGTTTGAAAATGTACTTTCTTCTCTTCCAAACCAGCAGTTGACTATTTTAGGTTATGGAATATGAATTCAAGCTGGGTAATAGTGAAGCTAGTCGTATGATGTTTACTTCTAAGAAATATTCAGCTTTACGTAACTCAAAACACAAACACATACACACACCCTCCTGTCCAAACGGACATTAAGATTACTGTCTGGTAAATGCATTAAAGGGAGACATTCCCTTACATCAACTGGAGGACAGAACTTTGATTTCTGCAAAAATAAAAATTCTCTTTTCCTTAGACTTTTCTTAGCTTTTCCACTGCTAGCCTTAGACAAGGTCCAAGTTATTGCAGTTCTGTCGCCTCCATTGCCTTTCAAACACATTCGGGAGAACGCTAAGTCAACATAATCGCTGCCCGGGTCTTAAGAGCCCGCAATGCTTCGCGGAAACCCTCAGAGCCGCGGATTTCGGACCCGCGCTGTGACGTCACCGGCCGCGGAGAAGGCCTCTCGCTCCGGTGATTGGTTGGGGTCCATGACGTCACGGGCCGGGGCGGTCCTGCGCCTGGCAGGGCCTCAGAAAGCTCTGGGTTCGTTTAAAAATAAAAGGGGACAGGAGAGGAGAACGTCTAGGGGTCCACGGAGGCGTCTGCCTCCCCTTCCGCCGCCGCGTTGCCCCCC